TTATTGTTCAAACATGTAACTGTTAGCAAGGATGATGTATCAAAAAAGTAAAAAAACGTCATGTTAAGACCATCCAAAACACTGTACAATTTTACACTTTACAATAAGAACCACTTTTATATTTGTAGATATTTATAACACAGTAATACAGCACAATATTATATGTTAAAATATGTGTTTCCTAATTGTTATTGTGCTACAAGGTAAACTAGTCTTAAATGTTTAATACACAAACAGATTTGTCTCAGTATTTGGAAAGAAACCAGACAGTTTAGTCTTTTTTAACCTTAATTAATGCATAATAAACACTTATCAATAATTTATAAAGTGTTTACAGATGAATTAATAACCTGTGTATAAACTCTTTATAAGCATCTCTAAGGGGAGCCTTATTTAAAAGTGGTATAAATGTTAACATTAAATACAGTCATTTATGTTTATGAGATTTCATGTCAGCTTCTCACCAGTGATGACACTAAATGTTACTAACACTATAGATTACATTATCATCAGTTTTAATGGGACTTCAATCATTTTCTTTCTTACTAAATATCAAGTAGTTTTTGTCCAGATTCAAAAAAATGAAGTTGAAATCAAGTTTGTATTTTTATAAATTCTGTTTGTATTTCCTCCAACATCTGTTCAATATTTTCACCAGAACAAAAAAAAAGTGTCATCAGCAAACAAAATACATTTTAAAGGTTTCGACACGTGAACTAAATCAAACAAACAAAATAAACAGTTCAGCTCCAAGCACAGAACCCTGAGGAYCTCCACAACTAATATGACAGAATTCAAATCTTACGTTTACCTTTACAAGCTCTTGTTCAGATAACAGACATCCAACAGTTCTAGGGTCAAAAGCCTTGGRCTGAGCTTACATCATTCACACACTGTTGGTGGTAAGCTACATGTAGCCACAGCTGCCCAGGAGCACACTGACAGAGGTGGGGCTGCCATGCACCGGTGTCACCGGACCCTTAGTTTTATGTCTTCAGACAGACCTGACATGTTTCATTTAATCCAAACGTTTTATGATTGTTTTGTGTTTCTGGCATGATTTCTTATTAAACCTGTCACACTGAGCTGGTTGTTCCTTTAACAACACACCCAGGCTCCAGCTGAATGATTCTAGTTCAGTCAAAGTTCTATAATCTGAAGCTTTCTGGGACATGAAGGACCAAGGCCTCAGCTTGGACTGGGTCCAGCATTACTCAGGTTTCCTGACTGACCTCAGGTCCAAACTGTGGTCCACAACAGGAAGCCTACAGCCGCCGCTATCAGGAGTGGCTTCCTTCACCAGAAAAAAAATGCTGCAGTTATAATTTTAGGCCAGGCTTCGCCCACTTCCTGTCACAGGAGGGAAACACTTGTCTTTCCTGTTCCTCAGGGGGAAAGCAGCTGAAAAACCTCCATCTGTGGAGCAATGGAAAAGCTTCCCAGCTGGACTTTAGTTCATATTAAAATACTAAAAATACTTTATTAAAACATAATCTATTAAAATACTCTCATAAAAATGATTTTACCAAGAGGAATCTCATGGATGCAGACCTGTGAGCTTCCTGTTCAGCCTGGACGTCTGAATCATCAGCAATGGTCCTGCAGGTCTTCCAGGTCCCAGAAGGTTTGACATGTAACCAGTCTTGTACTTGAACACCTGTTGGACAGTAAGATCTGTTGGAGAAATACACCTGTTGGAGAAAAACACCTGTTGAACAGGAACACCTGTTGGAGAAAAACACCTGTTGAACAGGAACACGTGCAGGGATTATAAACTGCTCCACCATTATATAACTGGTAATGTTTATTAAAACGATCAGAGGGTCATTAAAAAAACTGGTAAAGTTAATTAAAACTGTCAGAGGGTCATTAAAAAAACTGGTAAAGTTAATTAAAACTGTCAGAGGGTCATTAAAACACAGATGTTTATTAAAATGGTCAGAGGGTCATTAAAACAGATGTTTATTAA